GGCCCTGCGGCCTCTACCAAATCACTCACGGAGATGATTCTGGCGAACAAGGGTGATTCAGACCCAAGCTACCGACTTTGTACTGACATTTTTTGTTGTAGAAAATGTCGAGGGCTTAGGTGGAACCGTCGCCAGTGGCCGGCCTAAGAGAGCGACCAAGAGCACGTATGACCGGTTAGTTAGAAATAGTGAAGAGATAAGCAACAATCCTCCGCACACAAAAGCCAGCAATATGCCGGAGGACGAGCCCGAGAATCAGCAAGCACCCCAGGGAAAGAAGAAAAGGAAGATTCCAACGAACGAGGTTAGGATTTTCAGCCTTGAAAGCTTGTCTTTATCTTACTCTTGCCAGGGTCCGCTTCCACCTGATCCGCCTCTCAGGTCAAAGCCGTCGGCTCATCAAGAAACCGATGCTGTAAAATCCTCTCCTCTTTCTTTATTTAGTTTTGTGCTTACCCTGGACACAAGAGTGACGACGATGAAATCCCGTTGAAGAAAAGGAAAATTGAGCAAGGCAACAACAAACCTGTTCGTGTCTTTCTCCATCGTGCAGTATTTCCTCACCGCAGCTCAGAAGCCTGTCAGCGAACAGGACGATATATCACACAAGGTGTGCTCCACTTTTGTTAATGCTTGACCCGATACTCACAATTTAGCAGAAGCTTCCTCGCTCTGTGTCTCCTCGTGGACGGGCTGCATCGCGTCGAAGGTCTGGATCGCGTGCAAGGTCTGCGTCTTCTCGTGGACGGTCTGCGTCTTCTCGTGGACAGTCTGCGGCCTCTCGTGGACAATCCGGATTGCGTTCAAGGTCTGCTTCCCGTCGTGAACTGTCTATGTCCCCTCGCGGGAGGTCTGGATCCAGGCCAAAGTCTGCGTCCCGGCTCAGAAGCAAGATCTCACAGTCCATGTTCGATTCACCAATCAAGGCGCCTCCGTCCATCTTCGGTGCCAAGCCGGCCCAAGAGGATGTGAACATGAGTGTACGTATCAATATCTGCCCTGCGACTTCACTTGTTGAACAGGAATATGCAGGACGCCAGCACGGGTAGTAACTTTTATCTATCCGTTATTCAATGATTAAGTCTTCATAGATCGTGAGAAAGACGAAGCCGCAGACTCAGATCAAGATGGGCAAGACCTCTGTGATGACTACGACGCCAACCAAGATGATCTAGATTTTTCTGGTACGGTATGAAGAATATGCAGCGTACTTGCACTCACGGCAGACCAGATGTTCCCCGTGTCAAGCCTGCCAAAAAGAAAGTCCTTCTACTGGAGTCCAGCGGTAGGCCTGCTTCTTCATGTTTGAAAAGATCTCAAACTGTTCATACTAGAAGAGGAAATGGAAGACGATCTTGAAGGTAGGGCTCTCATATTAATTGAACTAGGACTGATGCTATCACAAGAAGACCACCAACACAAGCGTGATGGAGACAAAGACCGTGGGCGCGGCAACGACGGGCGCGGCGACAACACCAACGACCGCGGGCGCGGCGACAATGACCACGAGCGCGTCGACAACGACCGCAGGCGCGGCGACAAGGACCGCGGGCGCAGCGACAATGACCGCAGCGACAAGGACCGCGGGCGCGGCGACAACAACCGCGGGCGCGGCGACAACGACCGCGGGCGCAGCAACAACACCAACGACCGTGGGCGCGGCGACAATGACCACGAGCGCGTCGACAAGGACCGCGGGCGCGGCGACAAGGACCGCGGGCGCAGCGACAATGACCGCGGCGACAACGACCGTGGGTGCGGCGACAACGACCGCGGGTGCGGCGACAAGGACCGCGGGTGCGGCGACAAGGACCGCGGGCGCAGCGACAAGGACCGAGGTGGGCGCAGCGACAAGGACCGAGGTGGGCACAGCGACAAGGACCGAGGCGGGCGCAGCGACAAGGACAAAGACCGTGGGCACGACAAAGAAAGGCCCAGCAATGGCAGGGGAGACACGGACGGGCACAGAAGTGGCAGCAGAGGCGGAGTCAAAGGTATATGGTCGATTTGCTTCCATCTCTTAAACAGTGACTTAACTCTTTGGTAGGGCATGGAGGGGGAGGGCAGCCGCGAAAAGGTAAGCACTATCTTCTTCAAAGAGCCCAGCTGAAGAAAATTCTCAGGCTCAGACAAGGCTCAGTCTCAGTATCAAAGTGGTCAGTTGTTCTTTATTGTTTCGGTTCCAAAAAAATGAACGCAGTTTTGTCAGATCGCCGTGCGCAAGAAGGCAAAGTTGTCATCTCATCTACCCCGCTATCGACTAACTGTTCTTCAGCTGAGCAGGGCTCTTATGATGTCTCGAATAAACATCATTCTGGCAATAGGGCCAAGAAAGCCCCCTCTGTCCACCGCCTCATAAAGACCAAGAAGAAGCAGGATGGCAGGGATTCGGGTGAAGATGTTGGCGAAGCTGACGATGAGGGGGACGAATATAGCGATGGGGAAGGAGCTAACACTTCAAAGGACAGGAAAAGACGTAGTGCTAGAGAAGGCGGGCCAAGTCCAACGCAAGAAGGTTTCTACCCCTCGGAGTGGCTGAAGATCGTCGGCCAGACCAAGGACTCTTTGTTCCTCCATCTGCTGGACAAGGACCTCTTTCCTGACAAAGAGACTGGCCTCAAGCATATCCGTGCGGAGCTTTGCGAGGAAATCATGTATCGGGAAAAAGAAATCCAAGAAGCACGTCTCGAGGTTGTTCTTCCTGCCGGCAAGCATATGTTCCGCTCATCTCTTTCAACACTGAACAATTTCTTTAGTGTACTGGGAGGACCACAGCGATGACATGGTCGAACTGGTAAGCGGTTTTCTCTAGTTTCCTTTGCACCACAATAAAGCACATTCTAGATTTGGGAATTTGTCGCAACTTTCAGAAGCAGGTGCTACAGGCGCTCGCGCGATGTTGTCAACACATTATTCTCCTCTGAAATTTCGCCCAAGTTTGAAGAGGCTGACGACCCAGAACGCGGTTTTTCCCAAGAAGAATATCGTATGAAGACTGAAGAAAAGGTTGCAGCACTCCTCAACAAATCGTCTTTCCTGCACGTAGTTGATGAAGATGTAATTTCTTTTGGACTATTGTTTCAGAGAAGCTCAACTTTCTCAGGGAAACAAAATCGACTTCGGTTCGCGTGGGATCTGGTTGCTGGGCGAAACTGTCCTGACCATGGGAAAACGCCCGTTGCTCGAGATATACCCAGATACCTTTCGGGAATGGAGTACAAATTTCATAGTGGCTCTCAGCGTCCTAGTATTCAAAATTTATCTTGTCAACAAACCGTTTCTGAGAATTTTTGCAGCTTCCTTGTGCACTTAGTGAATACGAAACCGGGCACTACGTCAAGAAAGAATTCACCAGGTCCGCCAATAAACCCTACTACATCAAGGGTCTCTCGCTCTGTGAAAAGCTCCAGAATCGCCCTGTTCGTTGGCAACGTTCTCTTAAGCAGTCGAATACCTGGGCTTTGCGCCTACGCTTGAGACACCCGACAAAGACAGAAGTGCAAGCAGCCAACGACAACGAAATGGATTTGGGTACTGATAGTGAGAGGGAGGACAAAAGGGAGGCCCAAGGTTGAAGATTCATCGCTTTTTCAAATTGCTTTTTCAAATCGCGTTTTCAAATCGAATTTTTTTTCTGGATTTAATTTGAGCAACGATGAGCGATACGTACCGCCAATAACCAGCCTTTTTTGTAAAACGCCTGGCAGTACTTCCTGACTACTGTGAACTACAGTCAAACTACAAGAGCTATACCAAAACTATACGCCAACTACAGAAGCTACACGGAAACTACGGGCGAACTACAGAAGCTACACCGAAACTACAGACCAGCTACACAGAGCTACGTAGAATGACGCAAACTACGTAATGGTGGCCTAACTACGCATCACTACGTAAAGGGTAACCTTCCCTACACGAGATATGCCAGCTACGGCAACTACAGCCAACTACGTAGCGCTGCGTAGCGGGCCCAGGTTTTGCTGATGATACACGTACATGTTGGGTTGCGAATCTGTCAAATGTCACTACTCCATTACATTGCAGCTGCTCAAAGAATTATTTGCACTGTATGGCGTGTTTGAATTCTTGTAACTACTTACTCTGAATCCAAACACGTCATAGTTGAGAGTCCTTACGAATGAATGGCTTCGAATTAGACCTCGTGTTCAACTCATATGTTCTCACATTCATGGTGTGCTCCGCATTCCACCCAACTTACCTTCTCTTTGTTGTTAATCTCTAAGTAGTAAGCTTCAAAATGCGAGAGCAACCTAGAACGTACCGTTGTCTGAATTCACTTGGCAACTTTGAAACAGCACAGCATGTGACCGTGTTTGCCGGTGCCCGGTGCCAGCGCCGGTGTGAAAGCCCCGAACATCCGGGCTTCCAAATAACACCCTTACGAAATCAGGGGCTTTTCTTGAAAGCCGGGTTTCCAAATAGAATAATCCGGAAATTACGCACAGTCACTATTTTCATTACGGAGGATAGATGGCTTCAGTGTTTTCGCGAGGTCCGAGAAATCTCGGTCTCAAGATGTTGTGAATGATTACTTACTTCCGTACTCGTAATCTTGCGGCGCCCTATGTAGTATCGGGTGAGCTAAGTACTTAGGCGTGACGGTGAGGAGACGTTGAATGTGAATTACACTGAGATTCATATTCCAAGTAGAATGCGACCTACGGCCGAAAGAAAAGCAGGACGCGAAATACGAATTTGGGCGCCGGGAGTTGAACCCGGACCTGCAACTTGCATTGTCTATTGGTTCGGTTTACGAAAAATCGCCGCGCTCCGGGCGCCACACCCAATTCCGAGACTCAGGTTCTGGGTGCCCTACGACTCAGAGTACTTCAGTATCCGCACCGATATCCACGCGCAGTCATTTGCAGAACACGACTCGAGTTGCAATTTGGCATTCATTGGGCCAGTGGGAGACCCTGCGAGCTTACGGTACTTATTTGATACTTCAAGCAAGCACTAAGCGAGGAATCATCGCACTATTCGGGCGCCAGGGGTCGAACCCGGATGTGCAACTTCCATCCTTCGTCGGCTAGGGATAATTACAAGTTGCCGCGCACCGTGCGCCACACCCGATTAAATCTAGAGCGTACGTGCGGCGCCGTATGCAGTATCCAGTGAGCTATCTTTTTCATTTCATTCAGGTAGGTAGCTCTGCAGATACGGGGGGGACTAGTACTCCGAAATTGGACTTGAGGCCAGGCTCATATACTACTTAGCTGGCTGCAGTGAATTTCGGTCTGAGTACCTACTAGTCTCTCATAAACACTGTTAAACAGGTGGACGCCTCATTACTCCCTTCGCTCGTACCTACCTCGCTATATAGTAAAGGAAGTAAGTATTTACATATGTATCACCTTCTGGGATCCGCATGAAGCGCACTTTGAGGTCAACGATGTCCATCTCGGGCGAGAGGCGGAATTCAACATACGACGAAAGAATAAGTGGGCGGGTAGGCCCAGTGAAAACGGCGCCTCGGGAGGCATCGCCGGGTATCGCTGGGTCACGCTGGGCTCGTCAAGGATCGTGAGGCCTCGCTTTTGACTTCCCTCCTCAATTTCACATGCTCGGATTCCTCTTACTCCCCTCACTGACGTCATGAAATTCGTCTTTTAATTTTGAAAGATTGTCAACAAACTTCGACTTTGCGCATTCGACGGACGCCGCGGAAGTCGGAACCGAGAAGTGCCTTGTGAGTCATTGTGACGTGGTCTGCTCTTCCGCTTACCACCACATCCCGCTGGTCTCTTGCGACGCGCATCTGGTTCTCTCTGTCGCTGGGCTGGATACTCTGAGGCTGGGGCTTCTGCTGGTTCTCTCTGGGACTCTGGGTGTCTCTCTTTGTGGACTGGTTCTTCTGGCTGGCTGGTCTATCTGGTTGCACAATGTCTGGCTGTTTTTGGTACTAAGAAGTATGTTTTCTCCGCCGTTCCCCCACTCTGTAGTGATACAGTTTATCCAGCAGATTTCCGATGCGTACAGCTTACAGGACCACGGACGATACGCCGATACGCAGCCGTTCGCGGATTGGCGGATGGAGCACGGACCGTGCACGGTGACGGGCAATTGGCGATGGTGATGGTCCTGGCAGATTGTCGTGCGATGCGGGCGGGCGACAGGCGATGGCCGCGGATTGGCGTGCAATGCGGGCAGGTGAAGAGAGGGAGCGCGGCCAGGGGGCGGGGCAAGCAGGTGGGCGCGCGCACAGGCCCCGGGAATGGAAATCAAATTATTGTTGTATTCCGTGCTATTACAATACTACACAATACCTCCCGATCCAAAGTATCTGAAGGTATCTGAGGTGTCCGGAAATAGCTGCGTGTAGCAGCGGCTGGTATCAGCGAGTATCGCGGGGCATTGGAAGAGTTAAAATCTGCTATGACGATACGGTCCGAGCCTGTCCGAGGCCCAGCCGATACCCGGCGATGCCTCCCGAGGCGCCGTTTTCACTGGGGGGTAGGGATTACAGGTTTATTTCGGAGGTCATTGTGTGACCAATTAACTAGTAATAGTCTCTCGTAGACAGACACTTTATATAAATACTCGTACCTCGCTCTATATAAACTAGTAACTAGTCTGAGGTTGCGGTATCGTGCATGGAATGCGCCGGAGTCCTCGTTCCGGCGCCTTGAGCTCTTTTGAGACCATGGTATGCATGGAGCCACTCAAAGGGCCCATAGGATACAGATAACACGTCCGGGGATCTGGCACTGGCAGCGACGGTATCCAAATCCAAAAGCCAGTTCGGGTTCGAATGCCCCGAGATCCATGCATAGTTGGCTAGATGCTTTTTTCCTCAAACCTCAAAAGTCTGGATCACCGCAAGTTCGTATGTTCGACGACAAATCCCATTTGTAGATTTTGACGGTCTAATATTGCTTGCTGGTACTGATTTCGAAGGCCTTTAATTGATCGATGGTCTGCCAATTTGAGTAATTGTGCGGCATTCAAACTGATTCCTGTAGATGGCAGCCGTGCGCTTGAGACAGATCTCATCCGTGCGGTGTCAAATGAAAGTCAAAGCAAGTGAAGCGGTATAAAAAGGATTCACAGGACGGATCCTAGGTCTAGTAGGACGCCTAACGGACGGTGGCACTATATTACTGCCAGGCAGGCGGTTCGAATCCCCTGATATCCATCCATGCACATGGTCCAAGTACTTTTCCTTTTTTTGGAGAGTAGAAAATCACCTCATCAGTGGTTCATTGACATATTCGAAGAAAAAATTCATCGACCACTGCGCTTTGTAGGTTTTACTGTGTATTAATTTTCGAAGGGTTGTAATCGATTGAGGTTCGGGGTCCGCCGCGATTCGGAATCGAGCGTGCGACACTGCTCCAAATAATTCTGAATTTTCGTCTAACGTTGAGCTCCTCTACTTGTGGAGCCCACTTGGGTGTTCAACAGGGTCTGAGGGATACGGATATATGCACCCCATTATTAAATCAAAGTGGGTCCCCGTACTAAGGAGTACTTGTGCAAAGGCGGTTCGAATCCCCCTAGATCCATGGTCCACAGCGGTGCACTTTTTTTTTCTCGCTCGAGTGGCACCGATTACCACCAAAAAAATCGGAAGATCGGCGTGCGTTTACATTTCCTGTGAAAATCACGTCCAATTTTTACATTCCTCAAGTATGTGAATTGTACATACCAGGGGACGCGTGCGATGCCATCATCACGTGATCGTTCCCCCCTTCTCTTTTCCTCTCCCAACTTTAAATTTCTTGAGTCTTGCCACCACGGCGCGAAAATCCACGAAAATTCTGCGCGCATCTCGACGGGCCTGCCCGACTACGTGTAACTCGAGTGGTGAGTCGTTTGCGTGGAGAGGGAGGAGGCAGTTTGCTGACGCGTGTGGGTGGCAATGCAGTAATAAGTACGACACGCGCGGACCTTTGCTCTACCGATATAACGACGAACCCATACGATGGACTCTGACGAAGATGCGGATCTGGCGCTTGCGCTTGCGTTGAGTGCGCAGGAGGCGGAGGCGGAGGCAGCGGCGCGGAAAGGGTCCACGAGCAATAAGAAGGTGAAAGCGACGACGACGAAGAAGCAAGAACAAGAGGTGGTGGTGATCAGCAGCGACGAGGACGAGGACGAGATCGTCGAGGTGTCGAAGCGGGGAAGCAAGACCAAGGAGGAGGCGGTAATAATCCCAAAGCCCGGGGCAGGCCCGCTCTCGTTTCTCGGGGACCGGGCGCAGATGGAGCGCGAGCGGCTGGCGCGGCAGAAGCGCGTCCGCGGGCCGTCGCCGCCGCCCAAATCGCGCTCGAATTCCAGTGCCAATTCCGACCAAGACGAGGAGGAAGACGAGAGCGGCAGCGAGGGCAGCGCGCGGAAGCGGGTGCGGCTCAATCCTCCTCCTTCTCTTAATTCGATAGCGCGCACATTCCCCATCGGCGCCCTCCTCCGCATCGACACGCAGCACGCCGATCCCTCTATCCCTAACAAACCTGACTGCATACGCTTGAGCGAGGTACTAGGCCCCAAGGACGAGCTGAGCTTCGCAATCCTAAGTGCATTCGTCGTCGACGCGCCGTGGTTGTACAGTTTCTTCGCAAGGGACACGCCCGTGGTCTTGGTGACGGACGCGAATACGTCTGGTGCGGGTGCCGAGCTGGGGGATGTGTGCGTTGCGTTTTTCACCCCTTGTGTTTTTATCTTTTTTGATTTACTTGCAGCCCCACGCTCAAAAACATTTTCCCCGGCTGGGTGCGCGTCTGCCCGCCCCTCCCCGCCGTTCGCGGCGGCTATTCCGGGTGCATGCACATGAAATTTATGCTCCTCTTCAAGAAGAGCGGCGGCCTGCGCGTCGTGGTGAGCAGCGCGAATCTCGTACCCCATGATTGGCGTGATGTCGAGAATGTATGTCGCCTCCCCTTGTTCCTCTCCTCCTCTCCCTTTCCTTCTACCCTCTCCTGCACCTGTCTCTTTTTCGGAGCTGACGACGCCCCCACAGTACCTCTTCGTGCAGGACATCCCGCCCGCCGCGCCAGGGACGACGCGCACAACCCCACCCGCGGGAGTCGGAGAGAAACCCGGCGAGAGTTTCCCCGCAATGCTGGCGCGGGCGCTGCGCAGCGTCGGCGTGGAGGAGGCGTTGGCGATTATGGGAAGGCAGGGGGTAAGTGTTTTTCATGTTTTTATTCATACTGCGTCCATTCCTTCCCTCGAGCACTACACCTTCACTCCACTCCACTCCCGCGGGTGGCATACCTTTGCCTTTACCTTCATGCCCCTTCCCTCCAACTTCCTTCCGCGCCCCTTCCATCGTGTCTCTTGCATTTTTGCGTTTTACCTACACGTCCCCACCCCTTTCTCGTTCCATTTCTCCCTCCGCCTTACTAATCTAATCTCCCCACAGCACACCACCCTCCCCCTCCCCACCCTCCTCCCTTCCGCCCTCTCCTCCTCCAAGTCCTCAAATCGCTTCCCCGCCAAGCACGCAAAACACGCACCTGCGCCCTCCCCGCTCGAGACGCGCTGGGACTGGCGAAAGGTGCGCTGACGTTCTGCTCGTATTGGTTACTCTTCCACTGACGACGCTACTCGCTTCCTTCCTTTCGGACCTTCTTTATGCAGGTGCGCGCGGCGCTCGTGCCCAGCGTCGCGGGGCGGTGGGAGGGCTGGACGGGCGAGGAGGGCGTGCTTTGGTGGGTTTCCTTCCGTCTTCGTCTTTGGTCTGCAAATTCGGGGAAGTCGATGCTAACGATATCTCCGCCCCACAGGACGGGCCAACCGCGCCTCATGCGCGCTGTGCAGGGGCTCGGGTGCGGGCTGGAAGACCTCGAGGCGGGTGCGTTTGACGTTAAGGGCGGGAAGGGCAAGGGCAAGGCGGGTGGCAGTCGCAAGAACGGGAAGGGGAAGGGGAAGGAGAAGGGCGGCAAGTGGGCGATGGAGCTCGATTGTTTGGTGCGTGCTGTGTCCTTTTCTGCATGCGCGCGAAAGGAAAAGAGACTGATCATATGTCACATATTATTTCTATTCCTTATTTGCTGTTCCTGCCACGCTGGACCGACGATGGCACGAATACGACACGGCTTGACGCGACGCGACGCGACCTACGACCTACA